TTCTCTGGCGCACGCGCGCCGAGAAGCGCAAATACAGCGCAACTCCGCGCATTCTGGCGCAGGCGCGCCTTGAATCGCAGAAGAAGCGCGAACTCGCGCATTCTGGCGCAGGCGCGTCCAGAGTCGCAAGTCGAATGCGAATCCGCGCATTCGGGCGCAGGCGCGCCCAGAATGGCAACTTGAGCGCGATTCCGCGCATTCTGGCGCAGGCGCGCCCAGAATCGCCAATAGAGCGCGGCTCCGCGCATTCTGGCGCAGGCGCGCCCATAATGACAATTGGAGAGCGATTTGGCGCAGGCGCGCCCGGAATCGTCATTGGAGCGCGACTCCGCGCATTCTGGCGCGGGCGCGCCCAGAATCGCAGATGGAGCGCGACTCCGCGCATTCTGGCACAGGCGCGCCCATAATCGCAAACGGAGCGCGAGTTTGCGCATTCTGGCGCAGGCGCGACCAGAATCGCAACTGGAGCGCCCAAAATGACAACTAGAGCGCGATTCCGCGCATTCGGGCGCAGGCGCGCTTGGAATCGCCAATAGAGCGCGGCTCCGCGCATTCTGGCGCAGGCGCGCCCAGAATCGCAGATGGAGCGAGATTCCACGCATCCTGGTTCTGCGCGACCAGAAGCGAACCGAGCGCGACTCCGCGTAATCTGCCGCGGGCGCGCCCAGAATCGCAAATGGAGCGCGACTCCACGCATTCTGGCGCAGGCGCCCCCGGAATCGCAAGCATTCTTGCGCAGACGCGCCCAGAATTGCAACTAAGCGCGACTCCGCATTCTTGCGCGGGCACCCAGATTCACACATGAGTGGAGCTCAGCGCGCCCGGGCGCAGGTGCGCCCAAAATCGCAAAAGAACGCGAATTCGCGCGTTCCGGCGCAGGCGCGCCCAAAAGCTCAAATGGGGCCCGAATCAACGCATTGTGGCGCAGGTGCGCCAATAATCCAAGTGGAGTCCGAATCCGCGCATGTCTGCGCACCCCCAGAATGACAACTAGGCGATTCTGCATTCTCTGGCGCAGGCGCGCCTAAAGCGCAAATGGAGTGCGATTTCGCATTCTCTGGCGCGCGCGCGCCGAACAGCGCGACTTAGCGCGAACCCGCGCATTCTGTGCAGGCGCGTCCAGAGTCGCAAATTGAATGCCAATCCGTGCATTCTTGCGCAGGCGCGCCCACAATGACAACTGGAGCGCGATTCCGTGCATTCTGGCGCAGGCGCTCCCGGAGTCGCCAATAGAGCGCGGCTCCGTGCAGTCTGGCGCAGGCGCGCTCAGAGTCGCGAGTGGAGCGCCAGTTCGAGAATTCTGGCGCAGGCATGACCAGAATCCAAAACCGAGCGTGACTCCGCGCATTCTGGCGCAGGGGCGCCCAGAATCGCAAACGGAGCGCGAGTCCGCACACTTCGGCGCAGGCGCGCGCAGATTCGCAAATGCAGCGCGAATCCGCGCACTCTGGCAGTCGCGCCCAGAATTGCAACTAAGCGCGACTCCGCGCAATCTGGCGCCAAGATTGTCATTCCAAGCGCGTTTCTGCGCTCGGCGGCGCAGCAGGCGGCCCAAATCGTCGTCGGGGCGAGTTTTCCAAATCTTCGGCGCAGGGCGCCCGCAGTGGTATTCTGAGCGCATTTCCGCGCTCAGCGGCGCTGGTGCGCCCAGTTGCGATTGCACGCGATTCAGCGGTTGCCTGCGTTGCACGACGCCGCACGCCTAGATTGGCATCCATGAATGCAGTTTTCGTGCCTTCGCGGCGCAGGTGCGCCCGAAATCGCAGTTCGAGTCTTGCATTCTGCGGCACGGAGCGCCCAGATTAGCATTTTGAGCGCGTTCTCGAGCTCTTCCGCGCCCGGTGGCGCAGGTGCGCCCAGAATTGCAATTCGGATGCGATTCCGCGGTTTCGTGCAGTCTCCAGCGCGAGGCGCCCAACTAGATACGTATTTGGAGCGCAATTCCGCGCTCGGCGGCGCTGGTGCGCCCAGAATTGCGATTGGACGCCATTCCGCAATTGCGTACGACGCGGGGCGCGGCACGCTCAGATTGAACGCAAGAGGCTCGCAGAATCGTCCACAGAGCGCGCAGCAGCACGCAGTGCGCACGGACGCGCAGAGACGCGCGCGAGCGTGGATCAGCGCGCCGAGGTGCGCTGATATTCGCGCTCATAGGTAAGGGACGCAGAGTGTCGCGCGGACGTGCGCACAGGTGCGAAGACGCACGATGCTCGAAGAAATGAGCAGTAGCGCGCACGGGCGCACGGAAACACTGAAACGCGCGCAAGCGCGCAGAGGCGGGCGGAGTGCAGAGGCGCGCGGGAACGCGTGCCGATGTGCACGGGCGCACAGGGAGCGCGCGCAACTTCAGAAGCGCGCGCAAGCGCGCGGATGCACGCATATGTCCAAAGGCGCGCCGTAAGTGTACAGGAGCGCAGACGCGCAAATATGCGCGTCTTTGCATGCAATGGCTTGTTGCAGCGCGCCGCAGCAGACGAAGTCGCGCAGTGGTGCGCAGACGCGCACACACGCTGAGAAGCGCGAGCGCTCGCGCATGCAGAGCGCAAACGAGCACACAAGCGCTGAGGAAAAAACAGGCATGGTTGCGCCAGCGCGCAGGAGCGTTATCAGTGCACATTGGCCGCGGGGGAAATTGCGCGTCACCGCGCACATTGGCGGCGGGATGCAGAAGCTCACGCATCAGTAAGCAGCTGGCAGCGTTGACGCTGATCGTGTGCATTGGGTGACGAATATTCACGATTGCATCGCAAGCTGCTGCGCTGTCTGGCGTCTTCTGGTGCATTGGGAGCCTCGGATTGAGATCCAGAAGATCCCAGCCAGGCAGCGCTTCCCTCAAGCCCCTTGCTGGCGCGAGGGCGCCGGCCATTTGTCTGCACATACGAGGGCTTGGCGGCCGCAATGATTTTCATGGCGCGTAAACTTGTTTCCGTCACAGGAAAATCATCAGGAGCAAGCCCTCGCATTGTTTTCTCCCTGCTTCTTCGCCTCTATGCCTCTTCGCCTGCCTCGCGGGCTAGAAGTCCTCGGCAGGCCGGCGATTCCGTGGAACAGCGGAAGTAAGCTCCTGGGCGTGGCTCCGCTGGCGTGGGGTTTCTCGAGGCTCACCCGCGCTCCTCGTCGCCGCAGCCCGCGTTCCTCGTCGCCTAGGCGTGTCCGTTGTCCTCGTCGCTTGAGGTTCCTGGAGGAAGCAGCGTCGAAAGCTAGTCGATTCTTGCCGCTCCTCGTCGCCTTGACCGCTGGGAGTGTCGTCCTGCCGCTCTTGCACAGCCATGTCCGCCGACTTGGGGACCTCTGACTTGCCACGCCTACCGACTTGGAGGCCTCTGGCGCCAAGCCCGCCGACTTGGGGGCCTCTGGCATGGGTCCCTGCCTTTTCGCGGGCAAACCCAGGGTCCCTGTCTTCTCGCGGACAAACCCAAGCCCTAAGGGCTCTTCCCCTTCGGGTTTTTGCCTTTTCGCGGGCAAACCTAGGCTTCCTGCTTTCTCGCGGACAAGTGCTGGTGTGGCGCCGAGCTGCTTCAGCTTGTCCAGATTCAGTGTGAGACCTCCCAGGCCTGCGCGCGTAGAAAACGAATGAGATGGGGTGGCCGCGAAAACCACATTTCCCGAATGCACAGCCTCCTAAGAAAAAACGCGTCAAAAAAGCAGGAGGACGAAGAGGAGGAGGAGCAGGAGGACGAAGAGGAGGAGAAGGACCCCCTCCCCCTCCAACTCATGGTGGTGGTGGCGGTGGTGGAAAACAAGCCCATCAAGACTCAGAGACCAAGTCGTGGTCACAGCGGCACCAGAAGAACCGCGACCCCTCCGACTTTCGCAAGGAGGGGGGAGGGGCTCTGCGACGTCGTCGTCGTCCTCCCCGTCGCTGTCGTCGTCGCCGTCTCGTCTTCCCAGCGGCGTCGCCCGTCGATCGGCGTCGTCCTCCGCCCGACGTTTTGCCTTCCGCTCGTGGAACGTCGTCGTTCGCTCGCAGAGGGCAGATGGCGACGTCCGATCCATGCCCCCGTCACCCGTCGCTGCTCCATGAGTCGATGGGAGGCGGGGGTAGGGTTAAGTCGGGCCCGCCCCTCTACAGGGGGAATATTCAAACATAGTTTTAAACACATATTCTAAAATAGGAAAACACCAAAAAACATAGTCAGGGGACGAGTTTTTGGTTAGTTTGAATATGTGGTGTGTGTGCTTTGGGTATGTTGTATGTTTCACCCAAAATCCGCCTGTAGGGGGACACGCCCGACCTAAAGGTAGGGTTCGGGATGCCTCCACGTGCTCGACGAATGCCGACCCCTACTCCCGCTGTAAGGATGCCGCGCCGAGCAGCCGCGAAGCGCTCACGTGCGTGGGCGCAGCAGGAGCTCGCGCGCGGGTTGTCCTTTCCCACGCGAGTGGGCCTCGTTGTAGCGCCGACGAGGACAAGCAAACGGATGGCCCCTGACGCTGACAAACTGGGGGGACACGAACCGACATTTTGAGCTCTCCGCCCCACGACGGCTTCCGCGACAGCCAGCAGGTCCCAGAGAGGCCCCCCAGATGCTCCAGGACCTCAAGGGGCCCAAACCAAGCCCCCAGCGGCCCCCGAGAGGCGTCCCAGGCAAGTTGCAGCGCGCGCTGCGTTTGGACCGATTGACCGACGCGGCTCGATCTGTTGGACTAAGGGGCAAGCGGTCGCACGGCCCCCGTCGCCCGAGATGTCTTCGGAGAGGGCCTCGAGTCCCAAAATCCGTGCGGTGACCCCGAATCCCCACCGACTCACCGCACGGTGTGGTCACCACCCCGTTTCGGGGATGGACAGACCTCCCTTTAGCAAAACGTGGTTTAGTGACAACGACCTCGGGCCCAAACCTGGCGGGCGCAAGCCTGGAAAATGACGGCCACGGCGCCCTCGCGAGAACCGGAAACGGGCAATTCACTAATCGATGTGTCACTGTTGGGGGTCCTGTCCACCCCCGACCGTTTGGGGGCCCCCGACCTGCGGCAGCGGCGGTGGCCGCTGCGGCGGGCGCCTCCGGTCATGATGCACAGCAGCAGCGAGGCCGCGGCCGCGGCCACGCGCCCCAGGGGGCACGCGCCAGGCAGTGCACGCGCCCGCCGCCGCAGGGTCCTCGCCGTGCGTCCGTCTGTCGGGCGTCGAACGCCGTCGTCGTGCGACGTTCGTCGTCGTCGGTCGGCACCGGACGCCGTCTTTCGCCGCCTGCTCGTCGTTGGTCGCGTCGCCGGTCATTGCGATCGTTCGTCGTCGTCGTCGTCGTCGTCGTCGGAGGCGGAGGAGGAGGAGGAGGAGGAGAAGGATGAGCCAGATTGGGAGGAGGACGAGCAAGATTGGGGGGAGGACGCAAAGCTCGATGGAGTGGGGAGAGGGGGGGATGATATGGGAGGGGGTGGAGAGGAAGATGCAGGCGGAGATGGAGGATGAGAGGCAAACAGCCCGAGGATATGGAAATGGGTCAAGAGCAGCAGTGGGTGCGTGTGAAGGAGGGCGAACAACGAAAACGAACGAAGTAGGAATGAGGATTGACGGCGGGGAGGAGCAAGGAGGAGGAGGAGGAGGAGGAGGAGAAGGGACAACTACAGAAAAGGAATGAGATAAACCCAATTTTCCCGGGTGTCCGTCACATTCCTTCTCCCTGGCCTCCCCGTTCCTGTTCTCCAAAATCCTCCCCTCCTCCTCCCCTCCCTTCCCATTACTTGACCTCCCATCCTCCCCCATCCATTCCATTCCCATGACTCCCTTCCGTCCCATGGACCTTGCCTTCCCGTTTCCCCCCGTCGTTCTCTCTGCCCTTCCCCTCTCCCTCCCTCAATTTCCCCAACCATCTCTCCCCCTTCTCTCCCCCTCTCTCCTCTTACGTGCCCCCCTCAGTCTCTCTTTCTCTGTCCCTCCCTTCGGCTCCACCCATCCATGCCTCTTCGTCCGCCTCCCCTCCTAACCCTCCCCCTTACCCTGCCCTCCCCTTTCAGGCCCCCCCTTGCATCCCGTGCCCTCCCCTGTCTCGTCCCGCTCCATCTTTACCCCCCTCCCCCCCTTCTCTCCCCCCTCTCCACACCTCCCTCCTTCCAGTCTCTCCCTTCCATTTCCAACCTTCTGCCGTCCCAAAGGAATTGTCACCCCATGTCGTACGCTGCTTCTCCTCCATGGCGCATCCTTCTCCAACTCCTCCTCCTTCTCCAACCTCTCCTCCTCCTCCTCCCCCTCCTCCTCCTCCTCCTCCTCCTCCTCCTCCTCCTCCCCCTCCTCCTCCATCTCCTCCTCCTCCTCCTCCATCTCCATCTCCATCTCCTCCTCCTCCTCCTCCTCCTCCTCCTCCTCCTCCTCAGGTTCCTCAGGTTCCTAAGAGGCGTGGTCGGCTTGGCTAACCACACCAACCAACTTAAAGCAGGATCCGCCTCGAGGTCAAGACGTTGTCTCACACCTCGGGGCCCGAAGCAAAACTTTCAAAATTGGCTCCCTCGAACCTTTCGCCTTCCTTCGGAGGCGAAGCACGAGCGAGCGGGAACGGCAGTCCCCAAAAGACATCGGCCTGGGGCTCACGACCAGCCAGGAGGCGACCCAAGGGGATCCGACCGAGACGAGCCGAGTCCCGAGAACGCGAAGTCCAGGGGCGACAGACCAGGGCGAGACCGTGAGTTTGCCTGCGGGCATAAGCCCCGCACAACTTACAGAAGACAATCGCCTCATCTCGCCCAGAAGCCTTCCCACCCGCGTCCGCCCGCCCACCCCGAACCACCCAAAGCTTATGGGAGGGATGGGCGATTGCCGCAGGCCTCGGCGCGCCTGGGCAAGGGTGGCACACTATGCGAGATCGGAGCCCCTTCCGCACCCCACATCTGCTACAGCCCCAGGCCCTCCCGAGACAGGACAAAGCGTGCCCGTTGTCGTTGGAATTGAAAGAGAGGCGCTGCTCGGGGCAAGGGGGGGGAAGCGCACCCCGATCCGGCCACCCCGCACCAGCGGCCTTCTTCAAAACCACGCCGTGGTGGCGCAAGAGGCGGGTCGCCGCCACTGTCGCCGAGCTCACTCTGGTGGCCAATTCCTCGACCTGCGCGAAGTCCCCGTGCAGCTGAGTGTCCTCCTTGGCCCGCTTGTCGGCCTCTTTATTGCCGATGTGCCAGTGAGCGGGCGTGCCCTCGCGCTCAGCTGCAGCCCAGCTGGTGTGGGCCCTCGTCCAGTGGAGCTCGAATCTCTCCCTCAGGTCGTGAATCCGGAACCAAGCCTCGTGCCAAAGCTCCGCGTACTTGCACTGTGGGCTGAGGCGCCAGGCGGGCCCCTTCAGGTAATCGTCCAACACATTTTTGCAATCCGCGATCACAATCAAATTGCCTTCTACCGCTTCGGCTTCGCGAAGGGCCCTCACCAGCGCATAGAGCTCCGCGAAGCCTATCCTGCACCACGCCTGGCACGGTGCCCAGCAGCCCGCCGACGATCTTGCCGTCATCCTGAATCATGATGCAAGCCCGCCCCGTTCTCGTGAGCTCGACCGTCTGCGGGAACAGGGCCGAGCCGTCAATGCACACAGTGCCCGAAAAGCCCCCGTGCAGGAGCAAGCCCGCGCGAAGGCACTTCTCTTCAGCATCTGGAGGCGGCGCCGCTTCCAGCCCCAGCGGGGCCAGACACCGGATGAAGCCCACGTCCGTGACTTCTGCCCTGGCGCCTGCACGGCGTAGCTCCTCCAGGCCCATGTCCTTCGCCACTGTCGCCGTCCCTTCGCAGCAGAACAGCCTGTGGTGGTGCGTGCCCATGCCGTTCCCGCACCGCTGGCAGTCGGCCGAAGTGACCGCCCGCCCCGCGAACAAGTTGCTCTGGGAGACGAGGCCACCGCAGACCAGGGACTCCACCAGCGACACCTGCCCCTTGTCCCCCAGCGCGCGCAGGGAGTCCAACGCCGCGCGCAGCGGGTACATGGTCGGCGGCCCCTCCAGCTGCCCGTGGAAGTGGTCAGGCACCTGCCTGAGCAGCGACCTCTGCACTCCACGCTCTACCAGCATCCCGAGCAGCTTCGGGCTGTGGGCCTGGAGGTCGAGCCGCTCCCCCTTGTCCGTGGTCCATACGTGCCAGGAGTTCGCCTGCCATCCCATGCGGTCGAGGCTGAAGCGCACCGCTCCTGCCGGCCCCGTGACCTGTCCCCAGTGGGCGGGTCTCGCCGCCTCGAAGGCCAAGTCCATGCTGCTGGCGACCCTGAGCTTGGTATACACCGCCTTGGCCCAGGCCAGCAGCGGAAGGCTGTGGGCCGCGACGGCGGGGTCTCGCCTCCAGCCCTGCCCCGACTGGATGGCGAACTGAAGCGTCCTGCTCTTGAGTCCGCTGGCCCCCGCGAGGACCTGGCCGTTGATAGTCCTGGCCTTGCTCAGGATCTTCGTTGGGATGCCTCGAACTCGCGCTCCGTGCAAAATGGTGGCGAGGCCACAGCATCTGAAGACGGCGCCCAGCTTGGCGCCAGCGCTGCGCAGCTGCATGTAGCGCGACGCCTTCACCGACAACCGGCCTAGCCGGCCACGTAGCACAGCCCATGATGCCTTGCCGTCCAGTCTGAAGTCACCTCCCAGATTCCTGGCCTCACGGCGCAGCCTGAAGTCCCACTTGTGCAGCCGCCTAGCCGTGCTCTTGCCTGCCTCGAGGTCGCTGCTGACCAGCACGCCCTTGGTGAGCGATATCTTGAAACCGCCCGCTTCCAGACGCTCGCACAACCACCTGGTGGCTCCGAAGATTGTGAACCCCACGTCCTTCAAGCGCCCGTGGACCGCCAGCGTGACGTCGTCCACCACCAGGTAGGCGCGCACCGTGCGCCAGCTGCTCATGAGGAGGTCCATGGCCGTCAGGAGCATCACCTTGAGCAGCGTGGTCGCGAAGGCGCACCCCGCGACAATGGAGGTCCCCAGCGAGAACTCCTCGGACATCCACCTGCCCATTCACAGGCGGCGCGGGCCTCCGTAAGTGCAGAGGATAAGCTTCGGGCGCCTCAACCTGAACCCGTGGCGGCGAGCCGCGGCCACAAGGCCTGCGTGGCATACCCTCTCGCAGGCCTTGGAGAGGTCGAGCAGCGACGACGTCGAGCGCTGCTGCATCGCCGCCGACAAGTCCGCGTCGAACACCTGGAACCAGACCGCGTCCTCACAGCACTTGCCCTCGCCACCGTAGAAGAAATCCCTTGCCTACTGGCGCTCCCGCTCCCGGGCCCCCCCCCGACGAATCTTGCCCAGCAAGCGGATGAGGCTGCTGAGCAAGCCGATGAGGCGCCAGCCCCCCTCGGCCTTCGCGAGGAAGAAGATGTAGACCATGTTGATCTGCCCAGGGATCCTGCACGTCGCCTCCAGCACCTGAAGCAGGTGCCCCAGCGCCACGAGGCCGTCGTCGCTCAAGTGGCCGAAGGACTGGGGCTTGATGCAGCCCACCCCCGTGGCCGTGGAGGCCTTGAAAGCCGCGGCGGCTTTGATGATCGCCGGTGGGGCCGGGGCCTCGCCGACCGACTCCAGCAGCTCCTCGGGCAGAGCCTCGTCCAGGTCCAGGGGTAGCACCTCGCCGTGCTGCCAGACCTCCTGGTACTCGCGCTTCGAGGTGTCGATCGTGGCGGCTATACCTGCTGGGCCAGCCTCCCCGTCAAGATCTGGAGCCCACGCCAACGGCGCCGTGCAGTAACGGCGCGCCGCTCCGCCACCGTCCTGGACAGCCTCCTGGGCCCACTTGCGCCACTGCTGGGTGCGCCTCTTGGCGCTGCGCTCCTCCAGCTTCGCTGCTATGGCGCGAGCCTCCGTCTCCAGCGACTCCAGTTCCTGGTACCCCAGCTGGCTGAGGGTGCGGAGCTGACGCTTCCACTTGCGCTCCGCCTCCGCCGTAAGCAGTTCGCCCCCCAGGTCACCCGAGGCCATCTTGCCCGCCTTGGCATTCAGCGCCGCCAGCTGCTGGAGCGCGCCATGTATCGCCGAAGGGTCGCGCAGCCTCCTGCGACTCGCTAACATCTCCCACATGACTGCACCAATGCGACGCCAGCGAGCGGAGACAGGGCAGCCCCTGGGATGAGGCCCCCCGCCTGGCGCGAGGACGTCGCGCTCCACGTACTGCGGCTCGGCGTCGCGCCCGACGTACAGGTGGTGGTCTGCTGGCGCTATGTGGTACAGGCCCAGCAAGTCGGCCTTCATCAGCCTGGCGAACTCGGCGTAGAGCCAATTCACCATGTCTTGCGCGTCTAGCTCCAAGACCTCCTGGCCCGAGGAAGTCCCAGTGCCGCTGGAACTCGAGGTGCAAGGGGCAGCCGAAGTCGAAGTCCCCGAGCTCTCAGCTGTCAGGCATCGCTGAGCGGGGCTTGCTCCCGATGGCGCCCCTGCTTCCCCACTGATGTGCTGAGAAGTGTCAACAACCAGGCTTCTCGTCAAGTCGATTACTGTCGGGTCATCCACCGTGTCCCCGTACAGCCCGTAAACTACATCCACCCAGTTCTGGTCGAGGTCACCCCGCAGGCGCTTCAGCGACGCCGTGTTGGCACTCACTGGCAACTGGTAGCCCTCTCCCAGCACGCTGGGCAGCCCTGAACACGATGAGGACGCGGTCCCTGACGTCAGTGCGGCGGCGCCCTGCCCCTTCTCCAGCGACGATTCCCCGCTCCAGGAGACCTCCCCGTGGGGGCCCACCCCAGGCAGGCCTGACATGGGTCCTGCGGGGCGCTGCGACTGGCGCGGCGTCTCGGCCTTCGCAGGGGGGGTGAGCGCACCGCCCGAGGCGCATGGTCCACTCGTGGCAAGCGGACTCGATGGCGTAATCCTCTGTGTCGGAATCGAAGAGGCCCCCTCAGCGGCGGCAGCCGAAGCCGTCGGGGGCGCCGCCGAGGCCGCAGCGGCTGGCTGCGTCGCTGGGGACGCGATTTGTGTCAATGAAAATCTTGACGCAAACCCGCCGGGGCCGCTCTCCGGGGCCGCCCAGAGCGCCTCCGGGGCCGCCAGGCGCGCCGCGCTGGCGGGGCCGCCGGGCGCGCGGGCGGGGCCGCCGGGGGCGCCGCCGAGGCCGCAGCGGCTGGCTGCGTCGCTGGGGACGCGATTTGCGTCAATGAAAATCTTGACGCAAACTCGCCGGGGCCGCTCTCTGGGGCCACCCAGAGCGCCTCCGGGGCTGCCAGGCGCGCCGCTGGCGGGGCCGCCGGGCGCGCGGGCGGGGCCGCCGGGGGCGCCGCCGAGGCCGCAGCGGCTGGCTGCGTCGCTGGGGACGCGATTTGTATCAATGAAAATCTTGACGCAGACTCGCCGGGGCCGCGCTCTGGGGCCGCCCAGAGCGCCTCCGGGGCCGCCAGGCGCGCCGCCGGCGGGGCCGCCGGGCGCGCGGGCGGGGCCGCCGGGGGCGCCGCCGAGGCTGCAGCGGCTGGCTGCGCTCCCGGGGCCGCCGCCGGGGCCTCCCGGGCCGCCGCCGGGGCCGCCCTGATCGCCGCCAGGGCCTCCGGGGCCGCCGCCGATGGGGCCGCCGCCAGGGCCTCCGCGGCTCCGGGCGCGCACCCCAGCCTGGCCAGCACCGCCCGCGCACGCCGCAGGAACGGCCTCCAGTCGGGCGGCTCGGGCCGCGGGCCGGCAGGCCTCTGGGCTGGCAGCGCGCGCGCCGCCTTGTGGACCAGCCTGCGCTCGGGCGCGCCCTTCTCGCAGAGCGTAAGCCGCACAGGCCAGCGCGGCGCCGGCGTATCATCCTGCCTGCTGCAGCCCCGCACCTTGCCTCCCAGGCCGCTCGAGATCACGGAGAAGTCAATCTCCGATCCTGAGCCGATGCGGCACGTGGGGACGCCTGGCGAAGCTACCATACCGTCCACCTCCTGCGGCCAGCCACAGGTCTCCAGCTCCGCGGGCGTGCAGTTCCAGTCGCCGCCGGCGATGAAGGGCACCTTGGTGAAGGCCAAGTACTCGCCCACCTGGCCTAGGCTTCGACTCCGCGTCGAGACCTTTCGCTGCGACCAGGTAGATCGAGATGGCCAGGAAACCCCCTGGCACTCCACAGTTGACCCACCTCGCAATGACTCGGTCAGTCGGCAAGGCTGGCCCTTTCGGCGCATTTCCCATGCCGATGTGGGAGCGGACCGCGATGCCAACCCCGCAAGACAGACCGCCCTTCGCGGTGCGCACCGAGGCGTTCAGGGCTGTCTTGCAGCCCTCCTTGCGGCAGGCCTGCTCTGCCTCCGCCGCAGCATCTGGAGCCGCCTCCAGCATCTGGATCCCTGCTGCCTGGCACGCCTCCTGGAACTTGCGGCGGTTCTCGCCGTCGAGCTTGTCCAGCTGCTCGAGGAAGGCCGACTGGGCATCGGCCTCGCCCGCGGCGGCTTGGCCCCGCTCGCCGCCTGGACCAGCAGCAGGAGGAGCATGCCCAGGAGGCGCAGCGGACCGCCCGCCCATGAGGTCGTCCACGTCGCCGTCGGCCGCGCCGGCAGCCTCGCCTGCAGCCTCCTCGGCGGCGATCTCGGCGCGGATGCCGTCGACCTTCTGCTGCAGCAAGGCACGGGAGGCCTCGACGCTGGCTGCGTCAACGCCCTCCGCAGCGACCGCCGCCAGCGCCTCGATGCCAGCGAGCGCCTGGGCCAACTCGGCGCCGCGGGCGGCCGTGGCCCCCGGTGGCAGCCCGACCATCTCAGCCCGCTTGGCCTGCTCCAGCGCCTCGCGGCCCTCGGTCTGGCGCTTGCGGGCCGCCTCCAGCGCCGCATTGGCCTGGTCCAAAGCCTCCTTCGCCATCTCCAGCTGCTTCTCGGCCTCCTGCTGGGCTGCCAGCCGAGCGGCAGCCTGCTTGTCCAGCTTCTCGAGCCGCCAGATACAGCCCTGCAGCACCTGCGAGTAGGTCTTCGGCTTGGCCTCCTTCGCAGGTGGCGGCGGCGGGGCCAGCTTGGCGCGGTCGGCCTCACTGAGGACGACACCCGTGCCCGCCAGCAAGGCCACGACCGACTCGACCGAGGGGCCGCCGTCGCCTCCAGGTGCCGCTGGCTGCCCTGCCTGCGCATTCGGCTTGGGCTCGCCGCTGGTCGCCTGGCCGTCCTGCTGCTGCTGGCCGCGCGCCTTCGCTCCAGGCTTGGGCTTGGCCTTGGCGGCAGGTTTGGCCTCGGCACTGGCGCCCGCGGCGAGCTCCACCGCCCGCTGGCGCACCACCGTTGGGGCCTGCCGACCACATGAGCGGCACGCAAGCCGGCAAGCCCAGTTCCCGTCGGTCCCGCAGCTGCAGCCCCAGTACGGCCTGCGCGGTCCCGGGAGGATGACGGCGGCCGAATATGGAGGCCCCTGCTGCGGCTGGCGGGCGAGCGGCGGCCACCAGGGCGCGCGCGCGGGCCCCGCAAGGCCGCCTGCGCCGCCTCCGCCGCCTCCGACGCGGCCCTTGGCGGAGCGCGGTGGGGCGGCTTGCCCGGGCCCGAATGGGTACGGAATGATTGCAATCTCTCTCTGGCCAGATTGGCACGCACGAGCGCGCCGCTCTGAAGTACGTTCGCGCAAGACCTCCCCTCCCTGGAAGAGCCCAGAACGGCTTGAGCCAAAATGGCTACGGACTCCTCCTCCTCCTCCTCCTCTTCCCCTTTTTTGGAGGACACCTCAAGAATTGAGGAATCGTGTGGCTCTCGTTTGAGCGCTGTGTGCGTTTGCTCTCGACGTGTGCAGCGCAGGCAGGGCGGGCGGTGCAAGCATCTTGCCATCGCTCGGACGTCCCTTCCCCGTGCCTTGTTCGGCGTCGTGCGCGCATCGTTTCTTGTTGTTGCTGTTTGTTTTTTTCCGCGGGGCGAACCAAATGCTTCTCGAGGGCCCCTGCCGAGAAAAAGTGCACACGCCCGAGGGATGCCCAGTGGAGGGCGGCCCAAGCACGGTGGACGACGACGGACGCCGACCGACCGACCGACGAAGACCGGCGGCAGGCGGGCCCCGCGGTCCTTGCCGCGGCCACGCCGCCCGCGGGCGCCGCCTCGGCGAGCATGCCCTGCCTCGCCCGCAGCTCGAGCTCGCCGCCGCTCTTCTCGCCGTCGGCCGGCCGTCGTCCGACGATCGGCGTCAATCGCCGTCCGTCGCCGCCGCCCTCGAGCTCGTCGCCGACCTCGTCGTCAGGGTCGTTGAGGTCGTCGTCCTCGTCCTCCGCGTCGTCGAGGCCGCCCGTCTCTGCTGCGGTGCAGCTCGCCGTGGCGCTTGCCGCCTTCTTCATCAGGGTCGTCCGTCGCTGTCGTCGCCGCCGTCGCCAGGGCCGCCCGCCGCGCCTCGCCAGCAGCTCGAGCTCGGCGAGCTCCTCCCGCAGCGCCCGCCAGTCCGCGCCTGCCCGCGGGGGGCTCGGGGCCAGGGCGGTCCCTCCAGGCGTCGCGAAAAGGTTGCGACGGGCGGTTCCTCTTCGATTGCGGCCGCTGGTGGCCGATCCCAGCTCCCGAAATCCTCTGTTGGATTTCGACCGATGGTGGTAGCGTTTTCCGCGCCCGGGTACATCGACAAACTTTCAACGACGAAGAGCCGGTCCCCAGGACCGGATGTGGAACTCTGGGGGGACGGGGTCCTGACGGGAACTGCGGACTTTTACTCGAGTGACTGCTTTCCGGTCCGCGGCTGCCGAGGCGATGTGCGCGCAGGAAGCGCTGATGAAGGAAGGGCAGGCCATCAGACTATCAGACTGCACGGGTTAAATTTAGGCAACTGTACAAGTGAGTCGTCGCAATCGGAGCGAAACAAATCGCAACAAATCATTGTGCTGCGCAGCTCAGCGGCTTGACTACCGTGATCTGCCAGCGGCCCGATCTCAGAGAACGCAGATGTTCGATGTTTGAGGAGGTCTTCCTGCAACGCGCGCGACACTGCTCGGCCGAAATATTGCCTTCAGGGCAAGGAAACAAGTCTGCTCAGTGCATGGTTCCCCTTGGCACGCAAGAGAAATGCTCACGAGTTCCATTGGCCATGCCGCCACGCAACAAAACCGTGGAGGGGGATCTGCTTCACCATCGTTGCTCCACAAGACAAAAAATATCGGTCCGCGGTGCCGGCAATGGCGACATGATTCTGGGCTGCATCCTCCCACGCCTTGCCGACGCGCAGCCATAAAAAAATGCGCGAAGACCTCGTGCAGGAAGTCACCGAATACTTCCTAGCCCACCCCTCCAACGCTGGAATTAGAGGCCTTCTAGATAGGGTCGGAGTAGATGGGGTCGGAGGATCTCGCCGCATCGCCGATACATCGGCGATGCATCGGCGATGCATCGGCGATACACCAGCGATTCAACGTCGACGTCGGCGATGCATCGGCGACGTCGACGTAAAGCAAATCGGGCCCCACATCGAGCCGCATCGCCGATGCATCGGCGATGCACCGCGATCCTCCGACCCCATCTACTCCGACCCCATCTAGGACTCTAGGAGGCCTAGAGTAGGAAGCTGAAGCATATACATTACCAGTGGCGGGCTGTTTCTCAATCCCTAGATTTTTTGAGGGTCAGGGATGACGTCGGGGTGGTGTGGTGTGTACTTCTTTCTCCGTTTCCTGGGGAAACACCAAACATGTATACACCACGACCCCGTATACACCAGGATCCGCGTTTCTGTGCGAAGTTCAGCGCAGGGTCGGAAAACAGCGTCGGTGTACAGAGCTCAGTTCCCTATAGAGGAATGTCGTCCCACCTGGCCCACACCTGTCCAGAACCACCCCGAGCGCGCCCCCCAAAAACGCACACAAGGCGACCAGCTTCAAGCAGGCGGGGAGCCGAACGGCGGAGCGCCCCCCCACCCGCGCTCGCAGTGCGCAGAGCCGTGCAGCGACAACACAAGCCTTTCCACGCTAGCGATGGGAGGAGGAAGAGGAGGAGGAGGAGGAGGAGGAGGAGGAGGAGGAGGAGGAGGAGGAGGAGGAAAGGAGGAGGAGGAGGAGGCGGAGGAGGAGGGAGGAGGAGGAGGAGGCGGAGAAAGAGGAGGAGGGGGAGGATGATGAGGAGGAGGAGGAGGAGGAGGAGGAGGAGGAGGAGGAGAGGGTCTTGGCCCTGACATTTTCTGGAGACAGTCCAGCATTTTGTCTATCGTACCCAGGGCAGACCCCAGGCGTGCACCAGCCCACTGTACTTCCTTGCTGGTGCCGCGACCTTCTTTCTTTCGATCACGGCTAAGGAGCCGAGTTGGCATCGCCGTGCACGTGCTCACCGAGCTGGGGCACGACTGCTATTGCGGCTACAGCAGGCGGCTCATCTGCTCGGATCCCATCATTCAGCGAATATGACGTATCATCGTTCACACCGCATTCCCAAGGAATCGGGACCTGGAGTTGAATGGACGTGTATACCGTGCGGCCGCTACGTCAAGTCCCATCATTGGCGTTGCCTGTGCGGGACCTACTACACGTACAACTGCAAGCTGGCTGCTCGAAATGGTCATGGTGGCCCACGCCATCACCGAGATGATAGAGCCCAGTCTCATCCGAGGCGCCATGCTTCGCGGCTCCGACAAGTTCCTCAGAAAGACGGGAAACACAAAACGGTGAAGGCCATTGTTTTTCAAGCAGTTCTGATTTCCAGAGCCGACATGCTCACGAATCCAGAGGCCGCCAAGTTCTTCCAAGAACCACCGTGCGAGGCACAAGACTTGAAAAAGTTCAAGCGCGAGAACTACATGCAGATGCTCAAGATCGGTAGACTCATTTTCGCATCTCAGCAAGCTGGACACGATCCCAAAGAGGCACTGCTCCAGCTATCCGTGCTCAAGCTGATGCAATCTTCTACGGACTCTCTGACGAGGCAGATCAACCAGCTCAACCTATGGAAGGACGCCTTAATTGATAAGATCAGGAGCACACGTGACAAGATCGCCACCCTGGTTGAAGAGGAAAAAACATCTTGAAGCCTCCCTGGACAAAGTCAAGCAGAACATCACTGATATTGAGATGGAGGAGGATTTGCCTACGGGGACAGCTTCTCATGACTTTCAATCGCCTCGCCAACGGCTTCATCCTGCAGGTGCTGCTCCGCCTGCTGCCTCAACATCGATGCCCGCCAATTCGTCAGGAGGAGGAAATCATGGGCATATCCCGCCACCACCGTCGACGGCACCACCTCCAGTGGCCCAACATAATATTGACTCATTGTGCGCGGGCATGTATCAGATCATGAACCAGCTGGCGGTCCAAGCATAACATCAAGCCGCACAAGATGCCAGGCTGCAGCAGTTGGCCAATGACATGGGGTTTATCAAAGGGGGCCAGCCTTCAGTGCCGCGGGCTGCAACCCCCGATGTATCGCATCAGCATGTCGACCAGCCAGTACCGAAGACGCCTCCGAGACCTACTGGGGCAAGGATGGAACCAACCTCGCCATTTCCTCCGACCCAGAGGACTCCGTGGACCCCAACACCGAAGGCGGAATCACCTACACAAGCTTCGGCAAGGGTGGCAGACTCAACCATCAAAGCCGAGGAGGAAGAGGACACGCCGACGGTCGACGAGGCACTCCTGTTGCCCACGCAGCCTGTGTAATCCATTGTCGAGGGCCCCTATGTGCAGGCGCCCTCGCAGAGCATGACCGAGAAGGCGGGGTCCCCAGGCGCCAGCCCTCCCCGCAAGGAGGCCAGGCACATGTGAGTAGCCGTCGCCCAGTGAAGCGAGTTCACTGGGGATCAAGTGAGCTTGCATTCTATAGAATAGGAACATTGCCTGTCATTCATCCTCCCTATCCTCATCACTATCCTGTTAGACCTATTCTTGCCTCACCATCTCCTCGCACTTCCACCTCCCGCAGCGTATGCACGTGCCTTTCCATTGAGACTAGGGAAGAGGTCTCAGCTGCTTGGCCTTCCTACGCTGCTGCTGCCGCGTCAGCACGAGAGTTTTCAGCCACGGTGCATGCACATTTAGCTGAAGCTACCATTTGTACCACGTACATGTATGAACAATGCCCCTGGACCTTCAAGAGTAGATGGAATTTTCTCGGGCAGGTACTCTCTGGCATCAGCAACCAATATTTTGAATCTTTAGAAGTACCTCCGACCGACTGGGAAATCCAGTTGATTAGAGGCGCTTGGGCCGTCATCTGTGCGACGCCTACCAGTCAGGGGATAGATAGACAATTCAGATCGGGGCGCGCAGCCGACACGCGCCACAATACCTATGCACGTAAGTATTTTACAGGTAATACTTCCAGAGGGGAGGTTGAGACGGGTGGGGACTCAACTTCTTCAGGCTCCCAGGCTGTGGGTATCCATACTGGTAGAAGCCAGCGCGCTCCGCGTGCCACGCAGCGAAACCCACCTGAGGCGCTCATTCAGCGGTTCTTTCTTATCCTGCACTCTCTCTTCATTTCGTGCGATACAGATGGAAACCTTTCCTTCTCCTCTCCCACTCCCAACCTTAGAGTGTGTACTTGCTTCCCTGTTTCAGTTCCTGGTGCACACATCCCGTGGGATGCTTTGTGCAACTTTTTCTTTGCTTTTCCTTTGAGCAACAGTCAGACCTCCTCCTCTTCCTCTGACACCAACACCCATGGGGGACCCCACTGGTTAGATAGCACTGGAGGGCCAAGAGATGTGACCAACCCATGCCCAAGGGATCATGACGAGACAGGTTCGGGAGATGCCCGCGGTAGTACTCGACATGAATGCCCACCCTTGACCCTGGGGTTACCACTTAATGACCTCCCTGAGGTATCCAGAATGGCCGTTGAGATGGCCCCATTTCGTGAAGATGAGCCTCGTAGGATTTGTGTTTTCACTGATGGCTCTGTGCGCCCCAAGAGCCCCCTGGTTGCTTCTTGGGCTATGGTGGTTATTCACGAACTCCCCGATGGAAACACGTTCAGCTACCAAGGATGGTGGTCAGCAGACTTAGCTAGCTCCTGCAGGACCACCACATACGCGGACTTGGCCAGTAGTACCGAGAGTGAATACATTGGAATACTTTGGGCACGTGTTTATCTTCTCTCACATCCATCGTCTGTGCCTGCCCTGATTCGCACAGACTCACTCAACGCCGTTCGTGCCATTTCTGGCCTCTCCGCCCCCCCTATCTCCGATCGCGTAGGAAGGCTTGCTTGTGCATACTGGGCACAGTTGGAAGCTACGCGTGAGGTTTCGATTGATCACGTTAAGGGACATGTTGGCCATCCTTGGAACACCCTGGCTGATTGGGTCGCTGGGGCTATCGTCTCGGGCAATCTATCGGCTACTGATTTCCCTGAGGACCTTGTTCAGAGGACCCTCTACTCTCGCCCCATCGAGTGGGCCTGGCTCCAGGAGGCTCCTGCTCGCACGCGAGCGGCCTACCCCTCCACCTTGGGTGGTAGCCATACTAACACGCCTACTT